CCACCCACCCTTCCCCACCCTCGGATGCGCCCCAGTCCTGCCCAGGCCCACACAGGTGCCCCTGACATCAGTGACATTGAGCTGTCCACGCCCACCCAGTAGGCCACACCCACCCAGTAGGCCATGCCCATGCCAGCCACATCCACCTGGCTCCCCAATGGCAACCACGATGCTGATGCAGCCCTCAGTGAAATTGAGTTTGACACCCCTGATCTATTGTTTTTATATCCTTTGTTTTATTTAATAGTTGTATACCGCCTAGAGTCACTTTTCAAGAGATAGGCAGATATACAAATTTGATTAATAAACAAGTAAAAATAAATGTCTATGCTAATGTAGCTGGATATTTGGGGGGTTTAGTTTTGATTTGCTTTATTTGCCCAGGGACTAACTGAATAAAATCTAGTAATTCTTAAAATTTTAATTCTTAAAATCATCAGCATACTATTTTCTCAAGAGAGAATGATTTTGCTTTGTGTGATGGTCCTTAGAAAATCTAACAAAACATTGAAGTGAAAACAGGTCTTTGAAGGCATAAAGGAAAAGAACTTCATAGTTAAAAGAAATCAATAGTGTTTATATAGTTTAGAAAAAATGTGTTGGGTTTGTTGTTTGACTGCAGAGAAACATGTAAAGAAGTGGTAAAAATGTCAAGGTCACAATGTTCATGAAAGAATTTTGACCAGTTAGGAATTTTTATTAATTCTTTAAATGCAAATACCGTGGCACTGTGGACAAGTTCCATACCTCCTGCAGAGCAAAAGGTGGAAAATTACAATTAGCTTTTCAGAAGGGAATGTTACATACCAAGCCCAAAAAGCCAAAATCTTTTTTTTTAAAATCTAAATACAAATGTATCTCTTAAATTGAGAACTCTCCAGATTATCTATATTAGAATCATCTAGTTCTTGTAGTGAAAGTAAGAGACTTTTGGGGCCAACAGGATTTGCTCTTGTTTCAGGGATGTTAAATACATTTCTTCACCTTTCATATATCAAAAGAGAAGAATAAATATCTGTCTGTTTTGACAATTTAGTGTTATATGTATTCCTGGAATACTTATTGAGAATTAACTATTTTTCTGAGAAATCTAGTAAGGGTGGCTTTCTACAAACCTTCATCTATTCAAAACACTTGTAGAATAGGAATGAAATGTGCTATTTGTCTGAAATTGATACAGAAAGGAAAAAAATCCTTTCCCAGGTGGTTCTCCTTACAAATATTTTTCTGCCAGCTGGGCTCATATAATGGAGCATTTCTGTACTTAATTAGCTATCCCTAACCCTATCTCTAATCCTTTTGCTTAAAAAACAGAAAATATTGGCCTTCCAGAAGGCTATTAAAACTTGGCTTTTCCCAAAATGTTAGAGCCTTGTTAAGGGAGTGCAATATATGTATACATTTTAACATTTAACCATAATTCTAACAAAGCTAATAGGGTGTACAAAATTCTTTTCCAAGATACACTTGTTTCTGCCCATTTTTTTCAAATTATGTGAATAATAATCTATTAAAGCAAATTCCTTGGCATGAATTATACTGCCCTAAGAGTTAAATTGCAATTATCCAGGTAATATGCAAGGCTAGAAATGAAGTGGGTTATATGCAGTGTACAGTAATAGTTAAATTCACATAAGAGGCACTGTCAAGAGAGTCAAATAAATTCTAGCATTAAATAAATCATAGCTATAGTACAATGGTGGTGAACCTATGGCATGCGTGCCAGAGGCGGCACTCAGAGCTTTCTCTGTTGGCACACGCAGGTCCAGGCCACCACCGCTGCCCGGAGCAGGAGCCCCACCCAGCAGAAAGGAGATGAAGTGGCTGACTAGCAAGCTGGTAAACAACAAGGTGGTAGAGCAGAGGTCACCAACCATTGTTGATTGGCGGACTAGAAGAAAAGGAAGGGAGGGGAAGCATTTTACATGTGTGTGTGCACGCATGGGGCTGCGAGCATGCACGTGCTGCAAATGGGGCAAGCTAGTGCCTGTGTGATACTCACTAGCCCTACCCCATTCTTGTGTGGTGCAGTGCCTTGTATCTGCACCCAGGGTGCGGCAGCAGCCATGTTTGCGCCTTGCAGCACGGTGGCCCATTTTTGCACCCTTGGTTTTTGCATCCCAGAGGTGGCATTCAGAGGCACCTCCCTGCACTCCCCCCCAGGGCACCACAATGCTGATGCACCCCTGGCACTTTGCGATAAATAAGGGGGTTTGGGTTGCGGTTGGGGCACTCGGTCTCTAAAAGGTTCGCCATCACTGCTATAGTACATATCAAAATAAGTATTGTTTATGAAGTATATTTTCTACAGTATCAAAAAAGCTACATTTAAAACCATTATATATATAAAATATATTTTTATATATGCCAAATTAATAATCTCCTTGATTACAATATACAGTAGATAGTTTATAGAGATACAAGAACATAGCCATCTCAGTTCTTTGAACAACGATCATGTGAATTGGGAAGCTATTTATTTTCTGTTTTGCATTTTTCTTTCTATTAAATTGCAAACCAGTATTTTAAATTAAGAACTGCCTTGATTGAATCAACAGAAAAGTTCCATATAAACTAAGAAAGAGAGTAAATTGGTAGCAATTAGAAATGTGGGCATTAGCTGACTTTCTCAGATTTATTGAAGAAATTGTTCTGTTTTTGCATAGTTCACCAAAAAGAATCAAGATGGGAATTATTACAATAAAATATGTGTAAAGGATAGGTGTATATACCCCCTTAGCCTTTGACACAGGAGAAAGCATAAGATAAATGAGCTACAAAGTAGGCAGGAGATGGTATTTTATTTTGCGTTTTCCCTGAAAATAAGCCCCCCCAAAAGGCCCCTGATTTTGGGGGGTGGGCCTAATATAAGCCCTACACTCAAAATAACCTCTAATTAGTACCCTGCCCACTCCGTCCCACTGCAATGGGGCAGGAGGCCATGCAGCATATCATGTCACTGGGCAGGTGATCTGTGGGACAAAGTGTGAAGAAAGCTCCTACAGCAGCGCATAGCAGTAGCAGTCTTTCACCATCACTCCCCCTGGCTGCAAAACAGTGGAGGGGGACCAGGCCTACCCCGCCCATCTTCCATAGCATGGCACTCTGGCTTGGGAGGGGGATGAAAGAGAAGGTCGCCAGCAAGGAATGGCCTGGCTGGGGGGGCGTGAAGGAAGTGGGTGCGGAGCACATGGGGCTCCACCCCCTCCCCACCTGCCTCACCTTGTGGCAGTGGCGCAATGTGCCGCGTGGCTTCCTGCAAGCAGCCACAGAAGTGGGCCAGCAGCCATGCAGGTTCTTGCTGGATGGGGCTGTTGGTGCCGCGGCGGCGAGGTGAGGCAGGTGTCATGAAAAATATAAGATGCTCTCCGGAAATAAGATCTAATGCTTCTTTTGGAGGCAAAAATAATATAAGACTGGGTCTTACTTTTGGGGAAACATGGTAGCAAAGTTTGACATTGTAACGAGCATAGCATTTCTGTTACAATAGCAGCATACTTAGCTTCAAAATCATGGCATGCTAAATATTTTAATTTCTAATCTTTTGCTTTGAGCAGATTACATTGTACTAATGTTTCAGCATGTCTTGGAAGTTTTTTCATATATAGAATATTTCCAGAAATATTTGCCTACTTGTTTTTCTTTCTGTGGTTCCCCACCCCTCACCCATTAATGTGGAATAGTCATAAATATTTTCTTACTGAATTGTGGGAAAGGACTTGACCTTTCTGCAAGGTTAGATTTCAGAACTCACTGTAACTAAAGAAACCCAACAAGAAAATATAGAAACCTTGAATAGTGGCAAATATGGTAGCTTATCTCTTCAGTGGGATCTTTAAAGTAGGGAGTAGTACTAAAAAAATCACTTGACTGTATTTGATTGCGTATCTAAAAATATAGGCTGCAGATTTGTTCCAAAACTATTGGTTACTTATGGTAATGCTAGCTCTCCATTTAGATCAGTGGTTCTCAACCTGTGGGTCGGGACTCCATTTGGGGTTGAACGACCATTTCTTGGGGGTCGCCAAACAACACAGTCCGCCATTTTTCCCCCCTTTTCCTTAGCTGTGCTACTCCCTTTTATTCTATTGGCTTTTGAAAGCCAATAGAATAGACTCTCTTGAATAGAGTCTAATTCTATTGGCTTTCAAAAGACAATAGGAATTGTCCAGGCTGTCTCTGCCCTGCTGAGCCCGCCAAAAGTCCCATTCTGCAAACGGTGCTGCACCAGTTGAGTAGTCCTCGACTTATGACCGGTTGAGTAGTCCTTGACTTACGACCGGTTGGGGGTCACGGCATTAAAAAGGTTGAGAACCACTGATTTAGATACTGTAGTAGTAACTAGATTTTCCATCATTTTTTAGTAACAGGAAGATGTATTCCTCTGAAGTAATTATATTAAAATTCAACCTTGTTCTGTAATTCTCCATTGAAAACCATCTACAGTTGGCACTTGCATAGTTGCAAGACCAATATATGTAACCAAATATAGTCATTCGAATGAGAGATGAAAAGTGCCAATCAAGTGTAACTGGTAAACATCTTTCACTTCATTGCAACCTAGAGAGGAGCAAACCAATCCTTCACAGAAGGAGCAAGTTGCTACAAATAATTTCATACAGTTTTTTCTTTATTAAAATTTGAAAGATCATCTAAATGACTACAGAAGAACAATTATTTGTAGAGAACCATGACACTATCCCTCATATATTACAGCTAACTTCAAGCAGGAACTTGTGATGCTTGGTATTTAGTTCCACAATAGAAATAAGACTGCAGTTCTATATCCATGTATCTTGGAGTAAGCTCTGTGAATCTCAGCAGGACTAATTCATCTGTTAATGGGTATATATTTGCATGTAAGCATGTGTGGAAAAAATCCCATATGTTTTAGTAATCAGTATTACAACTTAAATACACAGAAAATGTACCGGTTTTCAACTATTTTACATTTAAGATTTTGACAGGATATAATATTGCAAAAGTGTATCATGACAATGTTTAGAATTGTAACATATTTATTATATACATAAAATAGAAAAACAACATTTAAAAAAGCATTATTTTTGAGAATCCATAGGATCACAATAAAAAATAACAGATAAGCCAAGGATGGCTGTTTTGTTTGCACTGTATGGTGCCTTTGCCTTTACTTTTTATATGTTCACATAAATAGGATATGTTAGTGCTTGTGTTTGTGCTAGCAGAACAGTGTAGACACCAGTGATGACGTTCTTGATATATAAAATATACTCAATTTTGGAAGGGTACCGTATATGCCGGCGTACAAGGCGACCCAGCATATAAGACGACCCCCGTCTTTGTCGCTGAGTCGCATTCCTAGAACATCGTCTTATACGCCAGAAACTACCAGTATTTCCGGCGTATAAGACGACTCGGCGTATAAGACAACCGTCTTTGGCGCCGATTTTAACGCTTGCGGAAGTCGCCTTATACGCCGGCATATACGGTATGTACACTGTATGTAGAAGCAAAAGATGACAATTTAAGAAGACAGTTTAAGTCTAAATATTACAAAACTAGAAACTAAGTCCAGCATAATGCTAGGCAATTTCACCACATTTTTCATGAACTTTCTTTTTTTATGTTTATGAAGCCTCATCATAACTGGTATCAAGCAAATCAAATTATTATTTGAAGTTGGGGCTCCACTGTAAATATATTTTTTCACAAGTTATCTTTAGCTTTCCTGAATGGCTTTTGCTGTTACAAGGAAAGCAACTATCCTAGTAGGGCTAGCAAGATTCTGTTCCCACATCTTTTCTCTTGTGCTGTCCCTGCTCCACAATATTAGATTGCTCTCACTGGAAGGGGGCAAATAATAAGGTGCTTCATACATAAAATATCTGAAGTCAAAATTCTGCTAAAGGGATAGATTCCATTTTCATTTCTTGTCTGAAGTGCTCATGATTGTAACATCCCGCACCCCCCCCCCCAGAGCTATTGATTTAACCAATTTGAGTCACCATTCTTTTCTACTTCAGTGGAGATTCTATGTACTGCTTTTATAAATTTGAGCATTAATATATTGGTAATTTCCATTTATATCTACAGAAACCCGAATATAAACCTAACCAAATTCTCCTTTATGATTGCAATACACTAATGTAGCATTCAGTTAATCTTGTTCATTACAACAGTATAAATAACAGCAATTACTTTATCCATTGCAAGTGTATATACATATTTCCAAAGAAGAAAATGAAAGCTTCAACTTTTAAATAACTCAGTTATTTTGAATCTTATCCATACATTTCTCTATGGCTTAAATAAAACATTTAAATCGGATATTAAATCTATATTGATTATGAGAACTTTAAGGAAGTAATGATAAGGCAAATTCTGCCAAATTAATGGATTTTACTTCTAAGTTATCTTGGGCCAGTCCAGAAAAAAACTGTGAGGAAATTCCGTTCACAAAATTCTTTGATCACACTAAACTGATGTTTGTTGATAAAATGGAAATGCTAGAGCTGCAGAAATGCAGAAGTGGATGTATATCTTATTATCCCAGTTGTGGATTGTTACATTTAGTTCATACTTTTCATCCTATTGCATAGAAAACGGGGATTATGTAAGAGAGTTCCAACTATTTCTACAATCTGAAATGAGGTGTTTTGAGTCAAGGTGAATGAGCTATGAATTAAAGTTTTTTAATACTACATTTGGCACTGTTCCCTCACATTCAGGATGGGATTCAGCCAGTTCACACCACTTCGGCAGAACCGGTAGCTAATTTTTTGTTGCCCAGGCCCAGAATGGACTTCCAGAAGCAGCATCCACACAGAGAACCGATTGTTCACATATTTGAATCCCACCACTGCTCACATTCCAGTTTTAATCTCAGAGGTTGTTCATAAAGTTTTACATGTATGTTTTTATACATAAACAAGTGCCCTTTTCAGCCACATTTTTTAAAAATCTGTAAGATCTTTTTCCCCAGAGCTGATTTCCACTGGTGAACAATGCTTTTCATATTGACTATCAGTCTGCTTGTATGAATATCTTCATATCCCGCCACAAGATATTTCAAACCTGCAGATAAAATAGGCATATGTTATATCTTAATGATCTGTGCTTAACATATATTGGATAAATATCACTTATCATGAAACATAAAAAAATATTTAATTACAAAAAGAGGAGAAAATAATGCACATGAGAGTACTGTCCAAAATCACTTAGATGAGATAGGCTTTGCAGAAATTTAATAAATAAAATAAAGTAGTTTTAGATAGAATTTTCATTGTGTTTATTGTAGCAAATACAATTCTCTATTACCAGTTAGTCAATATATTTTTGTTATTGCTATGTGCATGATATTTCCAAGATGATGACAGTATTATTATAGCAACTGTCATTTACAAGAGATTGTATTTATAATATCTCATTTAAATAAAATATGTTTGCTTCACTAATTGTATATGGCTTCAGCAAAATTACATGGGAAAAGGCATATCACTTTGTTAATTAAAACACCTATAGAGTAATTTTTGTTTCTCCAAAAAATTAAGTTACCTGCACTATTTTGTGGGTTTAAGTTAAATTTTGTTGGGAGAATAATTATTTAGAAGATCAACACTGATAAAAGTAGTTAGTATGTGTTATAATTGGTAAGCAGTGAAGGAATTGCTTGCTATTATATTAAATTGCTTTAATAATATAGGCAGTGTGGCTGTTTTATTTTCAGAAGCATCAAGCTTTTTTTTAGCACAAGGAACAAAATGAAATTTAAATAATATACAATCAGTGCAATATCTATTTAGCTATTGTATGATTTATACAATAAATTATATATAATTAAAAATTTATGAAATAAATATATATAAATATCTACCGGGATTAAGTATTGGGCAGGTACAACCTCTGGTAGTCCATGATTCTGGGTAAAGAATCTGTTTTCCATGGAAAATCTTCAGTTTTGTAGATTTCAGTACTTTCTGGATCATCACATTGACCTCAGCATGAGACCCTTTATCATGAGCAGACAAAATCTTTGCCTTTACCACTGTGGGAAGACAATTTCAGAAGGAAGAATATATCTTCTCTTTTTATTCCACTGGAATGGAATGAAATATAAATATTGACTAAAAGCAACATGTGCAGTGTAGATCCTTTCAGAATTATTTTTAATTACTTTAAAAAGCCATACAGTGATGTTTTATGTATTTCCATATTCCATTGTACACTGCATAATGCATATACACACATGCATATACATACACAAATATATGGGATACAAGGAGAACAATCAACCGAAGTAGTGTCAGATCCTCTCTGTAATACAACAGTTACGACCATAATGGAACCTGCCCATCATGGTCGTAGATTGAGAGGAAGTTGGGAGGACCTTAAGTGAATCACGTTAAGTGAACAAGTTCCAATCCCTGCTCTCCCCAATGCATTTGTTAAATGAATTATAGTTGTTAAGTGTGCATGGTGTACCTTAGGGTGGAGAAGAACTAGTGAAGGAACAAGACCACTTGCCTCTGGCTTCTAAAGGCTGCCCCCCACCCACTGAGATGTCCCATCCTCCGCTTCCCACCCATTGTGTCCCCACAGCTGTTTGGAATTTCTCTGCGTCAATCCCCTGTCCCTGATTGGTCACTTACTTTTTAAAGATCTCCAGCGTTTATATGTCAGAGTAGGACAGGAGGACAGGCCACTCCATTGCTGGACCATGTGGCAGAATAGTGGCCAAGTTTTTCTTAGACACAGGCAAAGCTGTTTTCCTTTTGTCACTAAATGCTAACCTTCCCCCTGGAAATAATGGCGGGGTAGGGAAATCATGCAGCCAATGGCAAATTTTGCCTTCCTACATGCTTGCCTCCTCCCAGCGAACATATGCAGCCAATGTGAATGCAAGCATGTAGGAAGATGGGATTTGCCTTTGGTTGCATGTGTCCATTAGGAAGAGGCAAGCATGTAGAAAAGTGAGATTTGCTGTTAGTTACATATGTTTGCTGGGAGGAGGCAAGCCTATAGGGTGAGATTTGCTACTGGCTGCATGCCTCCCCTCTCCTATCATTATTTTCAGGGGGGAGAGGAAGCTAGCATTTAGCAACAAAAGGCTACTATAAGACTAGCAGAGCTAATGGTGGGGAGGAGGAAAGGCTAGCATCTATTGATGAAAAGACAATGGCTTTGCCAACATTTGAGAAAAGATGGCCACTTTTCTGCCATGTGGCCCAGCAATGGAGAGGCCTGCCCTCCTTTCTTACCCCAACATTCTGCGTTCCAGAGATCTTTGAAAGGTGATCATTGACAGGGATGGGGAGGAGCATGTGGAACCTGGTGGGTTAGCAAAGCAGGCTCAGTGCCTGTGGGAACCTTGCGGAACAGGGTGAGCGGAAAAATAGGTGGGCATTTTGCTGCATCTCTGCAGGCAATCATAAGAGTGAACAACCGCAGGAGTGCTACAACACGCAACTTTGGGACCAGGTTGTAAGTACTCATTTTTGGGAGGGGGCTCTGTTGTAATTTTGAAACATTGCTAAGTGATCTGTCATAATTTGAGGATTGTCTGCATATCTGATTTGTTCTGTGACCTAATTGCTAAGATTATGTATTATAATTATGTATTATTGTTTATCTCTGTTTACAATACCATGAGCTTTGGCTTATTCATAATTTTAGATTTTTTCATAAAAAGACCAAGTGATGCTTTTCCACTATATTATTATAAAACAAGTTGATTTCTCACAAGCAAAATAATTCAGACATTTAAAGTTACCTTTGTAAATAAAAAAACTTGGGAGTTTCTACTTATTTCTTTCCCCACTGAAACATGAGTAGTTTTCAAGTTAGAAACCTAGAAATAGTTCTGTCATCACAAATAATTGCCAGAAGTAAGGGAATATACATTAGGGAAGAATACAATTGATACTATGTATCAAATTCTATTTTTTTCATGGAACATATCTTATTAATAGGACACATGCCAATAATAAAACATATAATCTGTTGGAAAAAGTATAACAAGCACTCAAAATATGTTGGGAGCTTTCACAGTTTATTAAAAAGAAATTCCCAAATCAAAGGGTATAATATAGCTTAGCAGTTGAAAAATGTAGTGTCCTCATAAGCAATTTTCCATTTTGAATTATATTGTCTGCATAATTAGTACATCACTTCATACTAATATCCAGTTCTGCTAATATTAGGAATAGTCCCTTTCATTTTTTTTCCTGGTATTTAAATATATTTACTGCTGATATCTGCACTAATATGGGGACATCTACAGGATTTAGAGGGAAATCTGAAATCTGCTATTTTTTAACTTGTCAAAAGAATATCTTCTTTACCACAACAGGATTTGCTGCTGGTGGTATATTTTGTGTACTTAACACATCATAAGATTCTTCTCTATTCCATTTTAACAGTGCAGCAGAGAGCAGCTTGTAATTTTTTTTTAATATGACCACAACACATTTGCCTTCTCCCTGTTTCTTTGTCTTAACATCCAGCCTAAAGAAAAAATATTGTGAAATCAATAATAGAAAAAGTCTGGTATTGCTGTTGCACTTTTACAGAATACTGCCTTGGTAGCTATAATTAGATGCATGTTATTTACCCTGAGCAATTTACAATAAAATTTTGGACTGTAGAGCTTATTCTTATTGATTTTTCCTCAGGCTATTTTTCAACCTAGTCCAGACTAAGAGAAGAAATCCATGTGTTGTTTCCTTAAAGTAAGATATGTAGTTGGAACATGTGCAGTTTCCTATCTGAAAGAAGCAAACTGTTTCTCTAAGCCAAATCCTATCCTACTCTATAAAGAGATACTGAAAATCATGGTATAAGTCAAGATACCTTCTTACCTATCTAGTATAAAATGGCTTCTATTTATTTTTGTGAATCATGTTTGTAGGATTAAAGAAGTTGAAATGAATAAATGTCTGCTAAGGAATCTTCTGCAAGAAAAAAAATGTACTTGAATCCTGCTACAGTTGCCAGCTGATTTCTTATAATATCTCTAATCTCAACACTTGTCTGATTTCATTTCTATATCAGGAAAAATTTTGTCCAATTAATGTTGGACCAGATACAACTTTTCTTGGCACTGGAAACCTGCCAAGAAAAACCTGATAATTTTTGCACTTTCCAGTCTGTAGCACAATCAAAATGGTACATTAATTACTTCTTAATATCAGGATATACCATCTGCATACCTATAAATTAAAAAAGTAGAATTTAGACAATGAAAAGTGTTTATAATTTACTTTAATTCACTTATTACAAATGAGTACAAGCAGCCTAGTGCTTAGAAACAACATGAGAAAGTAAAGTTGTTACATTATATTGCTTCAGGTTCATGTAATTAAATATTTACCGTACTTTTTTCCATATTTTAAAACTAATTTCTGTAATTGTTCAGCCGTACAATAGACATGAATTTTAAGGTTTCATTTTGCCTTATCAGAGGTGCAGCATTCAGCCTAAGTGCAAAGGAACTGCTAGCTATGAGAAAAAGAAACCAACAGTATGCAGTCCAGAAGCTGCCTGTGTCCTCTGCTTAGAAAATAAAATTATAAGCATAGAGTCAACTACAAAGTGAGGATGCATTGGTGTTAAAAGAAAGAATAAAACCCTTTTGGAAACATGCTTCTTGGTGCTAGACTACCAAACAAACACTGAGGGGAAACAGGCATAACTGATTGACTAAATTGCTCACTAAAGATAGAGAGCAGTACCATGTGAATGATGTTGTGGTTCTAAACTAAATGTTAAGCATATTAGAGTGTTTGTATCTAAAGTAAATGTTCAAGTTCCTAAAGTAATAGAACAACAAATATTTTGGATGATTAAAATGACAGCATATTAACTAGCCAATAAATGAGCTGGGCTGCAAAGAGTAAAGAATCATTGCTCTACAAAAGTTAAATTATATAATATGGAAAGGTAAAAGCCAAATACTAATTTGGATGTCATTAATTAATTCAGACATCTCACTAGAGGAAGAAACAATGCAGAACTCAATAATTTAAGTTATATGCAACTGCTGCCTTAAAAGGCTATGGTTTTCAGTGGAAATGGATGACTAGAGAGAAGACGTTGAAGAAGATGCAGTAAAGAAGTGCCAATCAAAAGACCTTTTGTTTTAGCCAGAAAGTAAAAGACAGGAAACCTTCTTATGGCAGAACACCAGCAAAGTTCTAGATGCCAAAGCAGAAAAATGGGTACAAGGCAAGAAAGAGGAGTTAGCTCAAGGAAGAAAAATTATTAGGCAAATTCTCCCATTATATTAGCTCCTTTCCTTTTAATCTTCTTGGAATCCCTCAAAGACCTGGTTATGCCATCAAACCCAGGGACTTGTTTAGATGGATACAGTATTGAGATTGAGTTATTTTCCAAATGGATTATTTGGTTATGATGTAGGCTGGGCAGCCCTTGAATACCTTACCACTGTGACATTCTTTTGTGGGGAAGAGTTTCCAGTGTTGAAACTTAAGGGTCTTGGACTACACAGTCCTTATTTTCTGACAGAGTAAATATATGTAAGTTTCATGAATAGTACTAAGGCATTGAAAATTCTGCATTTGGTATGTAGTATTATCTATTCCTTATTTTTCCAATTACAGTAGTTTTGATTAATTTTCTATTATAATTATATATATTTCTGTACATGTATGAAATGTATGTGTGTATGTGTATGTATTTTAACTCACCATAAGTATATTTCATAGCACAAAAGATCTTAAAATTTTGCAAAACTTGGTCTTTACATTCACACTTGCCTGTGGAAACATCAAAACATCTGTTACCATGAATCACCAACACTTCTAACTGCTATTACATATTACAATCACCAAATGAATGATAGGGTTGCCCATATTCCCTAAATTGAACTTGGAAGGAACATATTATATATAAGACTATATAATATTTAGTGTATTATAATTTGGAAGAATACATTTATTTCAAGAAATGGATTATTTTTGCATGAAATATTCTTTGTGTATCATGGTGAGACTGCAAGTCCTGAATTGCTCAGAATATTTGAAGAAGCTCCTTGAAGTCTTAATAGGCTAACAAATGGGGAACATTTTGAAAGAGGTTAATTTTGGAATTAATATTTCTGAAATTCTAGCTATGCATTGGATCACATTGCCTACAAATACTAACTGCAGTGGAAAGACTATGGAAGAGGATTGGTCTCCATCTCGTGCTTGCGAGTGTTATCAGAGGCATCTGGATGACTACTATGAGAAACAAAATGCTGAAATAAGAAATAACTCTTGGCCTAATCCAGCAGGACTTTTCTTGAGTTCTTGTGGCCTTCTCCTACGGTTTCGATATGTTCCTTGTTTGTTTCATAAAAGAAATGGAAAGCTTCGGAATATGTTCTTCCACTACCAACAATTCTAAAATGTCTTCAGAAAAGAAACTTATGATAGGCTAATTCACACTAAATCTTCTAACACTTCATAGTTTCTCTGGCATTCTTAATCATTTTAACAATAATTTCTCCTTCAGCAATAGAAAGAATATAAAAAGGAAAGAACTTTATATTCCTGCCCAATCCAACAAAACTGACTTTAATAAATATTTGGTCAATGTGAAATCACACAAGGGGTAGCTGCAGGTGATGGTTTGATGAGATACTCTTTTTTTTTTTTAATATACCAAGCTAAAAATTTAGAAGGAACTGATTTGGGAGAAAGGGGAAAAGAAAAAAGAAAAGAAAAGAAGGCAACACTGATATACATAAAAGTCTAAAATCAATAATGTAAACCTAATAAGTTATTTGAAAAAAAATGGATTCTAGCACTCAGTTAAAGTTCATTGCAGAAACAATGATTGAAGAGAGTTCATCCGGGCCAGGAAGGGGAATGCGTCCTTCAGAAAAGCAGTATCTTGCCTACCCATGCTCTAATTCTTGCTCAGTTTATTCTGAATTTTTGGCTTTTTTGAAACATAGGCCTAGAAATATGGTAATGAAAACTACTTCGTCAGAATAAGAACAGAACAATTGTTTTTATATGGTTCAAGATAAATCTTGTTTCATTTACTGAAGACTGTCTTTTATTTGTGACCTTCTGATCTTTTTCCCACCATTTCTCAAAATCAACTTTTATTCTTCATTAATCTGTAAGATTATCCTCTTAATGAGATGACCGACAGACCTGTGAACGTGTTCTTACCTGAATGTCGAAGAGCAGAATATCCTTGTTCTTCCTCCCATTGCCATGCTGCTTCACTCTTGTTACGTGCAGAATAGAGACCAGGAATTTCATGGTACCACTCTATGTCTGCATTGCTAAAAATAAAAGAAATAAAATGTGAAATATTTCTTACGAAATCAATTCAGTTCAAGTGTTATTATAGAGAACTGTCTTCATAAGATTTAGGGAGTCAGAAATAAGTTAAAAAACAATCATGTCAAGAATTTATATGTCAAACTTTTTAATATAATCATGAAGAAAACATTCATTAACCTTATAGAGCACAATTGTTCAGATGACATTTCCAGCAGTTCCAAGCATAAGCTCAAGAGATTTTTCAGGTCTCAACTTTCTCTAATCCAACATCCTTTATATATGTATAGACCAGTACAGTATACACTTGGTGAATATGCCATGTATCCAGTGATGCTACCTTTTAGGCCAGTGATTCTAAGTATAGTTTGATACATTCAGCTACTTTCAAATCTTTAATGGTTCAAACTGAGTAGCAGAAAGGTCATGAAACTAATTTTGTATATCTTGTGGTCAAGTACTACTAAGCTTTTTTATTTTTATTCATAAAATAGTATGAATGTGTTTGTAAATTTGTGCTTTTTTGGTGACTCTATTCAGACACAGGATTATTAAAGGTAAATTCCTGTCCCTATTATGATTAACCAACTTATTCAGTTTTTCTACTCACCTGTTGATGCAGTCTCCATTGATTGAATCACAACTTCCTGCACAATCACATGGTTGACAGCCATAATATCCAAATCCCCAGTATCCTACCATACACCGATCACACTGAGGACCAGCCACGCCAGGTTTGCAGGGACAATCACCATTGTTAGGGTCACAGAATGTGCTGTTGCTAAAAGGAAGCACAGCTGATCCAATGGGGTTGCAAGAGCACACTGCAATATCAGAACATGCATATGAGAGACTGCATCTTCATAGTCAATAGAAATGACAGCTTTCTTTGTGTATTATTTCTCTTGGTTATTTTTTCCTGAATATTTAATATATTTATAATATCCATGGGAATATTCCTCTAGAGCAGGGGTATCAAACTCATACGTCATGTGATGTGTCACGATGTATCATGTCTTTTTCCATTGCCGGCAATGGGGTGGGCACGGTTTTGGCATGATGCATCTGGCCCAGAGGCCAGCAGTTTGACACCTGCTCTAGAGTTTCCAAATTTTCCTCTCATGCTTCTGAAAATTATGCCTATGCCTATCTCTTCTTAAATATATAAGAGGTTTCAACTAAATAGGAAGCAAAAAAAGTTAAATTAACTAAGTAGTACTTTTAAGTCCCAGCAATATATAGAGAGGGGTCATTAGTTTCAAGAAAACATGCATAAATTAGGTGTATGAAATAATGCACACATGATACAGTAAGGGCTTTATTCTCGTCTGAGCTCATGTAATAGAATTCAGTTCACCTGTAACATTAGAAATAAAAATTTAAGGAAAAGGCCAGCGTGTAGATAAATGTCAGCCATTTTCCTCCCTTTTCCTCTAATATCTTTGCTCATTACATTTGTTTCTCTTTTTCTGTTAACTAGAACTTCATGCTTCAAACGTGTTATTGATTCCATCATTTCTGATTTGGCTATAACATTACATATTTTTATTAAATCTATTTTGGTATTGCTCTTCAAATTCTGAAGTGCTGTTAATATTTTGAAAAGACCGAATTCATTTTAATGTGATAGTTCAAATTGTAAAAAAAATCATTTTAATGTTGTATCTTTAGTTGAGGGGTTTTATATTATTAGATGTTTACCACTATATTAACATGGAATGCAACTTTATAACAAATGCCAAATGGTATCTGTTTGTATTAATTCTATGAATTACATTAGGCAAACTTTTATAAAAAAGATATAAAAGAGCTAAATACTACCAGAATCTGTAATCATATCTCTGCTTAATGGATATCTTTGGTTGTTCGGGTTTTCTCCCACGTTAATTTGGTTTGGTAGTCAGATGTGTTCATAACCACCGTGGCGTTGCCCTTGTCTGCTGGTAGGATTATTATGCTGGTGTCTTCTTTCAGGTTACGTAGTGCTGTCTGTTCCTCTTTGGGTAAGTTGCTTTTGGGTGGCTTGCTGGTGCAGAGGATGTTGTGATTTCGAGTCTGATTCTGTTAGCGTCGTTGGGGTTGATTTTGGTCAGGCTGGTTTCAACTCCACATATAATTCTGTTCTTTTCAGGATCCGTTTGGTGGCTGCAGAGTTGGAGTGGACTACCAAACCAAATTAACCAACCTACTCCAAGACTCCACATACAAACCCCTAAATACAGATCCCACCACCTACCTGGAAAAAACCACCAGATCCAAAATAAAAGCCTCCCCCATTAGCGAAGAGATCCAGCAAAGAATCATTCCCAGAGAGAAATCATCCAGATGCCCCAAACTCTATGGTCTCCCCAAGATACACAAAGAAGGAACCCCACTCAGACCTATAGTCAGCTCCATAGGCTCACCTCTACAAAACCTAGCCAAATTTCTCGCCAAACAACTACAGCCCTATGCAGAATCCATCACCTCACATGTAAAAAACTCATTCCAGTTTATAGAGATCATAAAGAAACAAAACTTACAGCCCAGCGACCTACTAGTGAGCTTCGATGTCATATCCCTCTTCACCCAAGTGCCTATCAAAGAAGCCTTGACAGCTATTCAAAACAAATATAACCCCCCCAAACACATCTTAGATCTGACCAACCACTGCCTATCCAACACATACTTCATCTATAACGGACAAAAATACAAACAAACAGAAGGAGCACCCATGGGATCACCCCTCTCACCTGTCATTGCCAACCTCTACATGGAACACTTTGAAACCCAAGCTCTAGAAAAATCGGATAACAAACCCAAACTCTGGCTCAGATACGTAGACGACACCTTCATAATCTGGCCACATGGGAAAGAAAAACTGAACAACTTCCTCACACACCTCAACAGCCTACACCCCAAAATACAGTTCACCATGGAAACAGAAGCTAACAACCAACTTCCCTTCCTGGATGTCTTAGTCTACAAGAAATCCAATGGCTCCCTAGGACACACCATCTACCAGAAGAAAACACACACAAACCGCTATCTGCACGCTCTCTCACACCACCACCCAGCACAGATCAACTCTGTAGCCAAGACACTCATCTCCAGAACAAAACGCTTAGCTGAGGAACAACACCTAAAAACCGAACTACACACTCTCACCAATGTACTAACATCCAATAGATTCCATAGAAATAAGATTATAAACCTAATCCAAAAAGAAACCCCCACTAAAATCCAAGACAAAGAACAAGAAAACGGCAAAGCCCTACTCCCATACATAAAAGGCACCACAGACAGAATCAGTAAGATCCTCCATAAACACAACATCAAAACAGCATTCTGCACAAACGGAAAAATATCAACCATCCTTAGAAACCCCAAAGATAAAATTGAATTAGAAAATCAAGGAGTATACAAAATCCCATGCACCACTTGTCCCACCACATACATCGGACAAACCAACAGAAGAATAAGTGCACGCATTGAAGAACATAAGAACTCAGTCAAAAAAGAGGAACCCACATCTTCCCTGGTCCAACACCTTAACGCCACAGGACATGAAATTGACTTTAAAAATACCAGAACCATTGCCAAAAGTGAACATTTTAATAACAGAATAATCAGAGAAGCAATCGAGATAGAAAAATGCCCACACAGCATGAATAAGCGAGATGATACCTCCCGCCTACCAGCCATTTGGAAACCCGCCCTTATTGACAAACGACTCCCTAACACAAAAAAGGATACCAGACCCACACTCACAAAAACCACACAGGAGGTCACCACCACACATCCACGCAAAAAACAAACCCAAAGCCACACCGATGACGAGGAACGACCACAAACCAGAAGCCAGACCACAGCTGCATCATTAGCCACTTTAAACCCCTCCAAGCCATACATGAAGCAAACTGACACCCTCCATGAAGAGGAGGCACGACCACGAACGCGAAGCCAAAAAATAGCAAGGCAGCCCAAAATCTTAAACCCCTCTGCAACTCAGACTAACCTGAGCACAACCAAACAGAACACTCCCCAGCCAATCAGAGCACAGCCAAGCCCCTAACCATTCAGAACACACCTCCACCCAATCAGAACACAGCCAAGCTCCCACCCAATCAGTTCATACCCCCACTGGCAGTTAAAAGGAAGAAACAGCTAAGACCACACATTGCTGCTCAAAGCACGAAGCTGAAAACACCAGCCTGAAGATGACGAATGGGACTTCGTCGAAACGTCGCCAAGACATTTCCAATTTTACACGGGAGAAAACCCGAACAACCAAAGACATATATATATAATTATTTTATATACTTGCTTGAGTTTATTGACTTTTGGGAAAAACATTTACATTTACAAATGTAATCTCCAGTTTTTTAAAAAACTGTTCATTGCTGTTTTGTTGTGTTTTTAAGAATGAAGTGTGGAAAAATATATGTTGCCCAGTATTATTAATTTTCATTATGTTATTAAGATATACACTACTCATTTAACCTGTATATATTTAAATGTTGATAATATTTTGAAACTGTTTCATTCTAGTTGTTTACTCTTGCTGGTGAGTTTGATGACTTTTTCATATTACTAATTCTATAAATTAAAGATTAAACATGGACTAGCATTTTTAGTCACTTTTAGCATTTTGCATGAAAGTTTTGGTCAGTTAACTAATTCAAATGGAACAATAAAATTTAAATATGAGGGCTAGGTAATGCTATTGGAAAATTGGAAAAATACTTTGGAATACATAGGAATGTAAATAAAGCATCTATTTGCAATTCAATAGAGCAGATGTGTAATTTGTCAAGATTGTGTAGCAACTTTAAGGAATCAAACAAAGCCTGTTCAATGCATTGCAGATAGAAGCTGTGTTCACTGTACTCTATATTCCTAAACTGCTCTTCTAAATTCAGTCCTGTACAGTTCATCATCCTCATCTTCATGCACACCAGATAATCCTTCTAAATGGAAGCTCTAAATTATATAAATAATTCTGATCACTCTATTTGCCTGGCTTGAGGCTGATAAAATTCACAGTTGAGCAGAAATGTAGTTGAGATTGAATTAAAACTGAGGTTCCCTTGTTCCAACTCTATGTTGCATGGATATTGTGTGCAGTATTTATTTAGAGAATCTAAAATACTGATATTAAATAACTTGTATAATAAGTATATTTTAAGTTCCCTCCTAAACTGTAGCAAGAAAAGAACTGTTTCCTCTGCAGTACTTCCTAGTTGTAATTTTTTAAAAAAAATAATTATCCACACTATACTAGAATACAACTGTCTGGTGTGCGTACATAAAAGAAGCCTAAAGTAAAAGCCCTAATATATTAATTAAAACCCTAATATATTAAGAATCACTCAAATGTTTGAAGCTTGCAAAATTAGAATTAGCTTACATTTGCAGGTGTCTGGAGCAGAAAAAACCTTTCTGAGATCTCGATAATAGCCTGGCTTGCAGCGTTCACAATGCTGTCCTTCAGTATTATGTTGACAGTTGTCACAAAGGCCCCCACTTTGATTCCCTGATGCCAGCCATGTGTCCATATCAAAGTGACAAGTGTCAGAATGCCCATTGCATTTACAAGCTGAAACATACCCAAGATTAAGGAGGGTGGAGGAGAAAGAAAACCAGGATTTTGCTGTTTTGTTAAAAAAAATGAATACAACATGGAAACTGTAAATATTGAAAGCAAATTATATTAGAATATATGCTTTCGTAAAATGAGCAGATTGTATTATTGTTTAGTTTTTCTAGTATATTTAGCTTGTCAAATGTGAAATTGCTAAAATTATAATTTTATTTGGATGGATGGATGGATGAATAGACAGGTATCATTTTTATTTAAATAATATTTCCAATAAAATACTGTAAAAGCAAGAAAATAAAATAAAAATTCATGGTCATTTCAAAATGTTAAATTTAATCAAATTTCAAATAAGTTTTTCTTGGCATACATTTAGAATCACTGTAAACAGTGTTTATTTCTGGGTACATGTATTTTAAATGAAGGCTGCAAACCTTCCGATTTTACTTCAGAACATTTTATTTAAATGCTATGGGAAAATATAAGTAACAATTCCTTGACTTTTCAATAGACCAAACAATATGACTTTCTTCAATCTGATTCTCTCCATACAGTATGTACTAAATAATCTCTTAAAGACTGGAATGTTTTTTTAAATCGATGGGCTTTCTCTCAGAATTTTCAAACAGGATCCCATCATTGAACAATGTGGAATTAGATTATCTATAAAATCCTTTACAAACAATATATTCTATAGCATGATGATTCTAATTCTCAGCTAACATGGTCTATTTGGGATTAGGAGAGTTTTAGTCCAAGATATCAAGGGCGCCAGTTCAGAGAAACTTCAAACAGTACTTTTTCAGTAAGTATCTGTTCTTATTTTTGTAAATTGAGAAATGCTTTAAATTAAAAGAATGTAGATGGTAGTTTTAGTTTTGTCTTGAACTATTTTACCCAATCATCTGCAGAAGAGAACCCTGTTTTTACACAATAGCCTATAAAGATTTCATTAGTTTGGTCTCATACTTACATTTGCATCCATTTGGAGCTCCTGTTTGGCCATTTGCAGCATGCCAGGGCTGGTCATTGTAAAGAGGGGCACAATACTGACAATGAGTTCCTGCAGTATTATGTTTACAAATGCATCTCCCATGGAGCTAACAATTGAAAACAACCATGTTTGCAATGGCATGTGTACAGATTTCAACATTCAGATATCCCCATTACACAATTTCACATAATATGTACTACTCTAAGGCAATAGAATAGCCCTTTATAACTAAAATAATTCATTTTTGAAAACTGATGGCTCAGAGCTTATCCAATTAATAATCAGTGCACTTCCCTACCATGAATTTCAAGTTTTAAGAGGATTTAATATTCTTAATGCTGTTACCTACACAACAAATGGGCTGTATGGTTTTTTTTTTTTTTTTTGTAGAATTAAGCAAATGCATAGATGTTAGGAAATTGAGAATAGGGAAAGGCTGCTTCAGCTCACACAATAGGTAAATTGTACAGAATGGGAAAACATGTATAATTGGAGAAGGAAGACAAGGTTGCAGTGATACTGACAATTATTCATATTCTAATCTTCCATTAAATACTTATTATACTGTGCAACCTCTTTAACATAAAAGCTATAATACTAAAAAAAATGCTGCCAAAAATGAAATGCATTTTTCTGAAACAAAATACCACTTAAGCATCACAAACACACTCTATAGAGAATAAGTGATACTGTTGCATTTGTTGAATAATCTTGGATTGACTGATTCCTATTAGTTCTATTTAAAAATAAGATATACATACATTAAACAAACTAGTTTATATAAAATGATACCCATCGTAATTGGCCTTCTGTTAAAATACTTGCCTGTTCCTTTTTATATTATTTTTCTTAATACTTTGTAACTTCAGTTTTATTTTGGCTCCAAAGTAATAAAAAGATACACTTCATGTATCATAATGTGTTGTAGAGTCAAACTAGAAGAGGAAAATGCAATCTATGGAGGACTAGGAAAAGTATTGCAGACAAAAGATATTTTCTTTAGAAAATATGTATTTCTAAAGATTATTCTGAATCCTTCATGATATCCATAAGAAGGCCTGATTGTGGTGGGCAAGGATTTATAGTATTGGAAGGACATTTATGAAAACCATGATATAAAGTATTCTTATGATGCTACGGTGCAAATTATTCAATCTTGCTTGAATATTATGACAAGGCCACATAATAGCAGAGTAGACAATGGGCTTCATACTTCAATGTTATTATACCCACATGTCAACTATATGATTTAAGAGATTCAAACAAGATGTCCAGTTGTATTTATCAATTTCCACTGATAATGAGATGTACATATTGAAGCCATATAGAGGAATGGAAGTACAATCCATGGGATTCATAACAGTAGGTTTCCTTCCAGCTTCAATAAACAATATCTTTTTGCAGAGACTTCAAGCTCCTATTTCTTATATACACATATATTTTGCATGATTGCCACCTAAGATCTGTAGTTAGTTTTGGAATGTAAACATTTGATAAAGATGAAAATCCTGCTTAGTGATATGGAAAAGGCAAAATCCCATGTAGTGCATCATAAGTGATACCATATTCATGAAAAGCATGTCAGTTACGAGTTGAATCCCAACAAAAGAGGATACCAAATTAATACTGATCTAAATATTTCCATTTGAAAATGTTATAAGGAATGGCTAAACAGACACATTTCCCAGGCGGTTTCATTATTTTGCAAATCAACACAAGTTCATTTAACCAGAATACTTTTTCACACATGCTATTTTTCATTCTGTCACTAGGCCTTTCACTTCACTTACAGACCGCTTTTCTTCTTAGCTTGACAGCTCTCTCGTAATGTCATTTATTATGCTATACAAGGCAAACAGTGTTACAAAAGTTGACCTATGTAAAATAAACGAGTGACTGATTTTCACACATGAAGACAGTTGCTAGGGCATGTTTCCTTCCATTGCCTTTTTGTTCTTGAATTAATATATTCAATTAGTTCTTTTCAAATTGCCTGTTGTTTATAAGAAAATCCTTCATGACTTATGTTTCTTCATATACTGTATCAAGAAAGAAGTGAACAGTCAGCTATAGACTAAGTTGCCTTCTCTACACCCCCTTTGATTATTCTTAATTATATTGAAAGATGCGTTGTTTTTTAATTTTCAAGTTCAGGGAGGTTTGTTTTTAATAGATGTCATAGGAACGCATGCTGAAAAAGTAAAAGCCTTCTAAAGAATAACAGAAAACCATCCTTAGGAAATGCCTTTAAACTATCAGTCTTGCACTACGCTTTTTTCAAGAGAATGAAAGGCAAAATGCCACAGCAATAAATATCTTCTGTCAGGAAACTACACAAAATAAAGGAGTTTTTTGTACTGTATGACCTGTCTTGCAGCCATTTTGAAACTGGTTTGATTACCTATATTTTTATTTTTATTTTGGGGTATAATTATAGTGATTGTGAGAATGCTTAAATGGAAATATATTTCCTAAATAAAAAGGCCTTTTCTAGTTTTGATATTAGCTTTTCTACTATTTCTACTATTGAACAAGTAATCCTACATCCTATTAAAATTACAAATGAAATGTTTCATTAAATAAGGAATTCATTAATAATAAAATTTAAATACCAACATATTATATGCCCAATTACCAATGAGATGTTACAGTACTGCACAAACTGTGAACAGGTTATTTGTCTACATCCACCAACTGACATAAGTGTAGCATTTTTTAAAAAAAAAAACCTTTAAAATATTTAAAATTATTAAGAAGGTAATTTTAATAGCCTGTGACGAGGTCCTACAAAAGCCCTTCTTCTAAAGGGCTGAGAATTTTGAGACTGAGGTTTGTAATGAATTTTTAAAAATAACAAAAAAGGTTTGTTAGATATGCATGGAACTTGAAGAAAGACAAGGAAATTATCAGACTGCTAGTTGGAAAAGATGCATAGATGATAGTGAATAACAGGAAACTGAACTGCTTAATTCGTTCTTTACATCTCCTTTTAACCAAAAGAAAAAAAAAGTAGTCCAACATATCAGAGAGTATACCATGACGGATAGAAGACAAACACCCGTCAAATTAGCAAAGATGTTATGAGATAACATGGTGCTTTTAATGAAGTTTCTAGAGCTAGAAAGATTACATCCCAATATACTAAAGGAATGACAGATGTGATTTCAGAACCATTAACTGTAATTTTGAGAACTTCTGGAATATAGAGAAAATGCCAGAAGATTGTAGAAAAACTAACATTTTTCTACAAGAACAAAGAAAACCCATGAAACTACAGACCAGTCAGCTTGACTTCAATACCTAGGAAAATTCCTAAAAAAGATAATCAGTAAGTGTGCAAATGCTTAGAAGAGACAAGGCAATTACCAGAAGTCCACATGGGTCTGTGGCAGAATAAACTGCTTTTTTTGACAAATTGACTAGTAGATCAAAAAATACTTTGGATGTGGTGTACCAAAACTTCAATAAAGCACTTGATAAAGTTGACCATAGCCTCCCTCCTAGATAAACAGAAAAATGTGGAATGGATAGTCCTGCTACCTGGTGGAGTTACAGTGTTTGAACAACCATATCCAGTATGTGGAGCTAAATCTATGATTACATGGAGGGAGATATCCCAGGGCTCTGTCCTGGACCTGGTGTTCTTTGACTTTGATATTATTAGCTATATCTTTAATAATACTGAAGATATTATACAAATAGTCCTTGATTTATGACTGTAATTGAGTCTGGAATTATAGTTGTATAGTAATTGCAGTAGTAATTCTTGGCATTGCATAAACACACCTGATTATTCCACATTTTTTGTGGTGTTAAACAAATCAATTTTCCCCAATGCATGCTTTTGCTGAAAACCAGAAATGCTGGAAACTGGCAAAAAATGTTGCAAATGTCATGTGACCACAGGACACCGTAAATGGCCATAATGGTGAGCTGGTTGCCAATTGCATAAAATGCAGTCGTGTGACTTTGCAGCTGTCATCACTTTCAAAATGTGTTATAAAGAGCTTTTAGGTGAGGGGTCCATCATAACTTTAAATCATTTTTAAGTGAGTGGTTATAAAATGAGAAGTATGGTATGGTAATTCATGAACAGAAGGATCTCTCAAGACTGACCAACCCTTCAAATGCTGCCTGTCTAAATGTGGCTCACATGGCATACATATGAAATGGGGAGAAGAAAAGAAGGGGCAGTAATTGAAAAACATATGGTATACTAGAAAATGGTCTAAAAGTTTACAATCCAGTATAGCAAAAAAAGGGGGAAACCTTTGGCCTCTGAAATAGGTCCTTTCAATTGGAACAAGTGGAGTAAGCTAGTTTGCCTCCAGAAGCTCAGGAGATTGCTACACAGCAAGCAACCTTTTATAATAATCATAAATTGTACACATGCGTACATAAAGGGAAAAGAACGTCATTAATAATTCAAGCAACTGGAAAAAAATATGGGAAAAAGATCACAGGTTTGCTAAAACTTCCAGAAATAAAGAGTGGCATAACCAGTTTCAACAAAACACTCGATCAGGAGAAAAGTTCCTTCTGAAATGAGATGAGGTCTAAGGGACAGGTAAATGCATGTAGCCCATATAATTTTTCAAGAACTTTTGATGCTAGTTCAAAAAATTTGGATTTGGGGTCCTACTGAATTGATTCAGTAATAACCGCTGTATATTTATTTATTTAATAAATAAATAAGTATATCCATTTATATGCATATAAATATGTATGTAAATATGTATACCCATTTATATATATACCCATTCAAAGTGCTAGCAAGAGATCTACCTCTTCCCTTAGTATGAGGTACCTGATAACATAAGCTAGGACATCTAATATTTCAGAGGAGTGATCTGGAAATTCTAACATTCCATCAAAATGGCATCTAATTGAGCACAAGATTTTCAACGAATTATCTGTCCTTCCAAGATTTGAACAATACAAACTTACCACGTGGAAGACTCCTGCTGCTTTGACAGGCCTAAAACCTTTAATAGGTGCACAGCGATCTGCATGGCCATTGCAAAAACAGCTCCCCTTCACAATAAAATCATAGACTGCGTAATAAGTTAGCTGTGGTGGGTTTGCATTCAGATCATTGCTGTGACATGGGCAGGATTGCCGCTTTAGCAGTTGCACTCGAAGGTTTGTGATTTTCAACTGTGCCTGAATTTTAGGGTTGTAAGGGTCATCAGCAGAGTTTGGAGGTGACAGAGCTCGATATATAACCTGCAAATAATAAATAAATTGAAACTAATCAGTGAAATAAAAAAGGTACACCCACTGGGAATTTAAAAATGCTTGTGTAGGAGATGACCAGACTGAGCCTGAGGGAGGGGTTTTGTACATCATCAGTCTCAAGTCCCTTTGTGCTCACAAGAGATCTAAATCCATCCCACCTTGAATTCCATTGACTCTTATCTACTGCCAATTTTCTTTGACCGTTAGTAGTTCAGATTCTTGTCTAAAGTCTTAGCATGTATTCATTTGAACTAACTTGGCTCCAGATTTCTTGTGCCTGACAGCTTGTAAAGAGTTTAGCACCTCAAACACAGAGCAAAATATTGTTCCCTGTATATTTTATTTATTGAAAGCCTGTGACCTCTAGACTTTATTTACAAAGATTTTAAATTTTAGATTTTAAAATTGCCATTGCATGAGGACTTTTATTGTTGGAAAAATGCCTATAAATAAACCAATAATAAAGCTCCTAGTTTTGTCCTGTCCTTGAGGCTGTAGAATATTTCATGAATGAACAAGATTTTGTTCATTTATTAAACAGAATTGCTAGCTTGTCTTTCTTTCCTTAATAATAAAGGAATCACACATTTGTATCTATGTTAATCATGAAACAGAAAAGTTCCAGACCCAGGGGAGAAAGAAATAATGATCTTTTAAATTTCTGCCGAATAATGCTGCTGTAGTTTAGTTTCAATGTGTTCTACAAATGTGAAATTTAAATAATCTTTTGCCATCATAGTCCCTGTTACTGAAGTAAGGATATAACAAATATGTTCCAAAAATATCTCAACATCATCTGAGTATATGTATTCTGTATTAAACTGCAGCAGAAGAAGCATGTTACATGTCCCGTCCGTTAAGGTCTGTCATCTGGTGGAAGTATATATTTCTCTGCTGTACCATCTGTCCTAGAGGATATCAATCCATACCCACCACCCCAAAAGATCAGATTGGCTCTGACATTGTAGGCCATTTACAAGGCTCTGAAAATGTTATGTTCATGGTATGGGATTGGAAGATCAGTTAGAGCAGTGGTTCTCAACCTTTCTAATGCTGTGACCCCATAATAGAGTTCCCCATGTTGTGGTGACCCCCAACCACTTATACATCACTGGGTGCCAGGGGCATGGCCAAAGAAAAGGGGGGAAAATGGCGGACAGCCTTGTTTGGCGACCCCCGTGAAATGGTTGTTCGACCCCAAATGGGGTCCCGACCCACAGGTTGAGAACCACTGAGTTAGAGCCTGTGAAATAATTGTATTGAAATGGTTGCATTGATGATTCATTCTCTCTCTGTCTCTCTCTCTCTCTCTCTCCCCCTCCCTCCCTCCCTCTCCCTCTCTCTGTTTTTTTAAAAACACAGCAGCTGATTGATATTTTGAATTTTGTTTATGTGTATTTTTGTTTTTGTTAGCTACCCAGAGCTGCTTGTATGAGGCAGGTGGCCTTGTGAATTAAATTACCAAACCAAATAAATAAGTTATGCAACCAAACATACTCTGAAACCTCAAAAGATTTAAGTCAGGCCATTATGTTTTTCTGAATCTGGTTGCAACCTGTCTCAGTTTTCCAGGATTTTTTTTACAGATAATAAATATGAATTGAATTGTTTCAACTTCTAACTGGTTCCAAGATTGTCATGTCTAATCACTTTTTTATCTAGCTGGAGATTCTTTGCTGACCAAGCATTGGCTTCCTTTTTGAACTACCAAACTTCCTTGAGAGACTGGGGACCACTTAGAGTGGGGAGGGGTTGTAAGAGAAAAGAAAGGATTTAGATAATTTACATTTCTGAACGGAATGAATGCAGTGTGCTTTTGTCTATTCTGTCAGCATGCCAAATTTGGCAGCAGCCAATGTGACAAGAGACAGACACAACTGAATATTTAAATGCCAGCAAGCATGACTTTAGAATATATCTTTAGAATATATCTAAGGGTTTTTATCATATAAAATAATAATAAAAATAGTCTGTGGGATACATGTAAAGGTGCCAATTTGTAAATCAAAATATTTTCTTTTGGGTGTTTTGAAATGAGATATGCTGTATGTTGTAAGGAATAATAATGCTACTATATTTCTTCAGATTCCAAGGGAGAAAGAAACAAGAGTGAGAATTGCATTGAGAAAGCAATGCTCATGGGTTGTGTTAGACCTGAGTAAAAGATGCCTTAAGATATGGAAGAAATTAGAGTTTTCTCAAGCCGCAAGATGGTGGCAAATAAATTCAATAAATAAATAAATAATAAAATAGTTTGGAACACAATAGAATTGTAGACAATTGCTTTTTTTGCTGAATGAGGAAAATTCAGGCTGATAATTTTTCAAGAAATAGACCACTCGTGTTTCCTTCAATTAAAAATAATCTGCATTGAGACTTCCGGTTCCGGATTACGGCGCCTCTAGTCGTACGAAGAGACTAGTCTCCTCATCAGTTAGTTTCCCTCCGCCGGTAGACCCTTATGCGGGTCGAAAGTCGCCCTGGAGGGTGCGACTACTGTAGAGGAGGCTGTGCTCGGCTGCGGAGGAGTGGCGGCTCCCCCAGTTGGCCAAGCGAACTCTGAGGGCCGACGGAGAAGAAGATCGGCCAGTAAAATGGCCGATCACCCAGCTGCACCAACTGCAAGTCAAAAGAACAACTAAGCTTGAAGACCCACCGTGGTGAATCCGGGTGAGACTCCCTTTTCTCTTGCTATCCTGATCTTTCCTGTAAAGAGCTCTGACTATTTCCCTTTGCTAAGAAAGTGACGGCTACCTATATCGGAAAAAAAGCTTTAAAAAAACCCAACTCTTTGTCTTTTGGGGTTGTTTTTTCTACCATTGGACTTTCTCTGTGGGGATATTTAGGGGAAAAGAAGAAAAAAGGGACATTGCTAATTTGTTCCTATAAACTTTATAACGTTGTTAAATTTAAAAAAAAATAAGAGTGAAAACTTTTTGTTTCTTTAACTTTATCAGCTTGGAAAAAAGATCTTATAGTCCACTGAGGACATCTGGTAGCCAAAAGTGAAATTACAACTCTATCTTTGTGATTGGAAGAGGGATTGGACTTCATATGAACAGTAAAAGAGAAAAGATAATCTGACATTTGGATGGTGAAGCTGATTATTAGACCTTTGGAGGAGGATATTTGTGGACTTTTATTAAATATAGTCTCTAATAAAGGCTAGTCTACCACCAAAATGGAAGAAAATATTCCATATCTTGACTATGATCTAATATTGGAAAAAATTTTTGAAATGACAGCAGATTTCAAAACTTATTGGAAATCTAAGAGACAATCTAAAGATGCCACCTTGGCACTTACAATGGACCCTTCAATAATGAATCAAGCCATGGAACAAAGAACATCAGAGGAAGTGCATATTTCCTGTTCCCCAGTTGCTTTATGATCAAGTGATGTATATGCCAGCTTTCCTGTAAGAAGCATCTATTTCAGAATTGCTGGGTCTGGATTTTATGCTATTGGAAAATTTTCTCTTGAAAATGTTGATAGAAATTTCATTGAGAACAGAATAGGAGTGTCCAAGGTATTTGTAGATAGACTCAGTACTTTCCTTTTAATTAGTTCTTTAATCTTGCAAAGATTTTCTATAAATATTTCAATCTACTGTATTTTCAAAAGGTTTTCTTTCCTGCATGGGAAAAATAAAAATCACTCCCTCTACCTTGAGCCTTGAAGAAGGTTTTTGAGCTTTAACAGTAAATATGAATGTTCCTCAGACAGGTTTCCTCCTTTATCAAAAGATTTATGTTCTTAGAGTCAGCAAGCCATCGTTATGTGTGGATATTTGTCAAGTTTTAAAAAAAATGAACTTCATTCCAAAACTAAATGTAAGGGACTGAATGAGCAACTTTACTTCCTAGTTAGGATACAAAATCATCAGAAGACCCACAGAACAATCTCCTATCATTGAGCATCACATATGTACAAAACCAAAGGCCTACAAAATCATCACTGATATTATGCTTGTAGGGTAGCAGTGTGAGTACAGAAAGTAGCAGTGTGGGTACAGAAAGATTTTTTTTGATTAGAATCGTCCGTATCCAATGGAATAAACTAATATATTCCACTTACAAAATGCTTTAATAGTGAGACCCTTAGATATTTCAATAGATTGTTTTGCCTATTTGCCTATTAGGTCTATATTGTGGCTTCCATCCAATCTATATAGATTTTGCATGAAGAAAATGAATTACGTATTCTGAGATTCTCATTTTTCTAAGAATATTCCATAGCTTGATCTGGTTGATAACAAGTTAAGGCTTTTCTATAGTTAATAAAGCAGATACTGACTTCTTAATTACCCAACATGCATCAACAATAATATCCCTTCTTTCCTACAAAGAATTTAAACTTCTGGCATCTCCTTTTCCATATCAGGATAATTCTAATCATTATTTTGCTAGCTTGTAAAATAGTGTGATAGTTTGCACACTTTGTTAAAACGGTGTCCTTTCTTTGACACTGACATGTGTTTTTCTCCAGATATGGTAGCTAACTAATTTTTGGTTGCCTGCCATAATTCTATAGATATTCCACCAATTCATGTACCCTTGTAACTTGGTAACAACCAGCATGGTGATCTGACTTCATTTTTTTAGTTCTTCTAAACAGAACTTTTCTATTCACTTCTGATCCCAAATGAAGCTGTTGCTAAAGTGATCATCTGTCTGAAGCATATTGCTACATTGCTGCTGCCCAAGGTGAGCTACATGCCTTGGGTGACTTCTGGGAGTAGATATACTTTGCATACACTCACTCACATGTGTCATAATTAATAATGTGCATCTAAACCTAAAGAAAAATGGAACAACTTTCAAGTGACACATTTTATTATAGAAAATATTTGTTACTGGGGCTATAACACACAAACATTGCTGTTGCAGTTGTTTTAATTACTGGATAAGCATCTTTCTTGCTAACAAGAACATGTATGATTGATAACTGAGGCACTACAGAATATGCAGGTAGATGTTCATACATGAATATATGCACATACCCATTTTCATATACATATACCTCATAATAACATACAAAAACAATCACTAAACTTAGCCATAGAAAATAAATGAAAAGAGGAGGAGGGGGGAGGGGAAGGAGAAGAAGGAAGAGAGATTAAAGTTTTCTCAATGACTCTGAGCAGCTTATGAATAGCACATGGGAAAAATACAAAAAGTGAGTCATCTTGAATATTTTAAAATTGAAAACCTCTAAGTTAGATCTTTAGCCTCTGCCTGCCTCCTGTTTCTCCTGCTCCTACTGTACACCTGCAATGACCAAGAGGCCAATAGATGTTTTCAAGGGCATCTCTTTTCTTTCCCAAGTGCAGTGAATGCAAACAATCCATGCAGGACATTAAGAACAGGGAAACTACTCTAAACTACTAGATGTGCGATTTCAGTGACACTGAATTTTTTGCATTTCACAACCTCCTGATTAATGGGACATATACAATTATGGATTTACTCATATCCACACTTGCTGTTTAAACTGTTCTGATCTTGCACTCATAGTTACATGAGTTCTCATTTAATAATCTGTGTGGTGCTGGGGGTTACAATAGCAACTGGGACTGCCAAGATTGACATTGTATTTTACAACCACATCACTTAGTGATGGAAATTCTGCTCCAATTGTCATCACAACCCAAGAACTAGCTTAATTATATTCAACTTGGACAGCAAGCTACTACATCTTATATTGGATGCTGCTGTACCTGCCCATCTTTCTCTTCCAGGAAAGTAAGGGACAATCATTTTTTCTCTTGTGAGCAGATACATATACTTTGTGTGTTTGTGTATGTATATGCACATGTTTGTGTGTGTGTATATATGGCACATGAAACACATAAATAAGTGTATTACCCAGCCTATACTAAATAACTTGATCTAAGTTTATAAAAAATATAAGTACAGAGGAAAGGTTGTATTTCCTTCTTCTAGAAGTCTGTTTGTTACACTAGATCACTTGAGTTTTGTGTGATATTTTTGTATAACAATAAAAAGAACTTCAGATCAAATAGAGCAGCACATAATTAGCACAGCATGAATATCTTCATTAACTGGTATGAGTGGCAAACAAATTTAATAAAATAAACTTACATCTATCAACCAGTTTTGGTCAGTTTTGTTACTAAGAGTGAGCCTACTGCTGCATTCATTAGACCAGGGCTTTTCAACTGGTGGTACGTGTACCAATGGTACTTTAGCACTTGGCTGGTGGTACCCAAGCCCTAGCTAATTGTAGTGGGTGAGGGAACCAGTTAAAGCGGAGCTGCACAGACCTGGAGGAGATCAGCTGGAGCTGCAGAGCTTGGCAGAATCCCCAGAATCGGCTGATATTCCTTTTTAAACATAGTACTTAGAAATAAGGTTTCAGCAGGTGGCAGCAACTGGCCAACTTTGTCCGACATTTGGAAGTTCACCAGAGTTGGACCTGCTTAATAATTGGATGAGACATTTCTCGGTAATATTAACATTGTAGGCTAGACTGGGAACTTCTTTACCTTTTACTGAAAAATAGAAAGTGGAGGACTTTATAGTTTTCAAACAACATTGCATTGCTTATTGTCATGGATATCTTAAATGAACTCACCTCTCCTCCAGTGCAGGGGAAATGGCTGGAGTATCTTGAAGTGCAAAGTGCCTCTTTCTTAGTTACATCATCATCCAACCTAAAGATTGCTGAGCAGTTGATGGAAAAATACTTATATGGCTTCCAAGTTTTTCCAAAATCCTGAGATCGCTCTAGGACCATGGCTGCTGGTCTCGGTGACTTGAATATCATGATCAAATGAGTGAAATAAAATTCAGTTTCCAAATTGAGCTGGATCTTCTCCGTCTGTACTCCTTGTGCTGATTGCCACCATGTGTGTGGTAATCTAAAAGATGAATCAACCATGGCAGAAGATGGATGAGCCAGATGTGTATTCATAGAATTGCATTTGCTACACTTAGGCCACTTGCATAGGAAGTCTGTATTTTCACTGTAGGAACAGTATAATTCTGTGAAGTTGTATCCACATGTAGTATCCGTCCACAATTTACGTCCATGAGCTAGGTTTCCCATTTGAGGATTGCATGCTTTCTCACAGCGAGACCCAGTTCCAAGAATACTACTCAATCCTAAATAAGAAAAAAAAGCCTAAATAAAACTCCTCATATATAGCCAATCCACAGTGAGATACTGAGTTGGTTATCTTACAAAATAAGAAAGCATAGTTAAAAAAAACAATGGATCCATTATATTCTCAATCTCAGACCATCTCTATTGTATATAGATAGATAATAATACTCAACTATTTTATAAGTCTGTTTTAAGGAATATTGTGAGACTTTTTGTTAAAAACATTGACCTTTGAAATGACTTATATCAGGGGTGTCAAACTCAATTTCATTGAGGGCCGTATCAGCATTGCGGTTGCCCTTGGGGGGGTGTGGCCAGCGTGGGTGTGGCCTACTAGGTGGGCATGGCCAGCTCTACAACGTTCGTGTCAAGGGGGTGTGGCCAGGGTGGGTGTGGCCTACTGGGTGGGCATCGCCAGCTCTACAACGTTCGCGTTCGTGTGGGCCTGGGCAGGTGGGGACAGATCTGAAAGTCTCCGGCAGAAGGGGGTGGGACCAGGGCAAGTGCCAAGGCATGATCCACTGGAGGAGCCTCACTGCTCTCCTTACCCAGGTTGCTCATAATGGATATGAGGGCAAAGTCAGAGGGAGGCCCATTCCCTCTCCATGGGAGTAGACCTGGCTTTGTATCCAAAGCTTCCTTAGCAATAGGATGGGAGACTCCCAGGATAGGCCAGGAGGAGGGGGCAAGGGGATGGTGAAATGGCAGCAGGGCAGGACTAAAGCAGAAGTTCCCTCAGATCCTCCCTCTCCTTCTTTCCTTCTTTCCTTTCTTCCTAACTACAGAGTGGTGGGAAACTATTTGAGATGAGGGAGGGAGAAAAACAGGCAAGAAATGCAGCTGGGGAGGTGTCACCCTTCGTGAGGAATGAAGAAATGCACCTGGAAGTAGCCAGCACATGGCCCTCACCTACTTCATATATCTGGCTTGGTGGGCTCTGGGAGAGGGATGCCATGAGCAGCGTGAGAGTCAACATTACCTGCGCAATGCCGCCCAGCCCCCAGCCTGCCTGGTTTCGGCAGGCAGTGGGGCAGTCTCCTCACAGCGCCAAGAGGTTGAGCTGGCGGTGTGAAACTTGTCAGCTTTGCACCTTGCTGCCTGCTGAAACTGGGCAGACTGGGGGTTAGACAGCATTGCACTTCTCATCAGATTCGTACCACCCGGCTCAGCTCTTGGCGCTGTGAGGAGAGTGCCCGCTGCTTGCCGAAACTGGGCAGGCTGGGAGCTGGGCATCCTCGCGCTTCTTTTTGATTTGCGCCACCCAGCTCAGCCTCTCAGCGCAGTGAGGAGAATGTCCCGCTGCCTGCTAAAACCCCTCCCCCGGAACCCATCAAGCCGGATATGTGAAGTAGGCAAGGGCCATTTGCTTGCCACTTCCAGGCGCTGGTGCATTTCTTCATTCCTCACAAAGGGTGATATCTCCCCAGCATGCACTCTGGGGGTGGGGCCGATGCAGCAGGGGCTGGTTCCTTGCTGTTTCCAGACAGCCTTGTGGAGCTAAGACTGAATGCATTTCAGCATAGATGGCCACCACAAAATTGTACATTGGCTCCCGGCCAGCCTGGGCCAGGGCCAAGGCAGAGGGGAACGTTTCCTCACTATTTCCAGGATGACTTCGTGGGCCACATGAAACCACTTCGCGGGCCACATCCGGCCCCTGGGCCTTGTGTTTGACATGTCTGACTTATATCAAATGCTTTTACTAAGAAATACATTTGTCCAAAACTCTTGAAATACTCTTGAAATACTCAATTTCATTGTAGCTAAATTAATTCCAAGCAGGAATTAATATTATTGCTCAGTTGTGCTGCACATACTTTTCATGCAGAAATCCTCATGTTCAAATATTAACAAGTACAAATCTCTTCTGCCAGAAACCTTGAAGGGCCAATGCCAGTCAGTGACAATTATTTGGGAAAGAATGGATGACTGGCTCAGTAGGAAGCAACTTCTTGGGTTCTCGTGCAAGCCTAAACATTACAAAATGATACACTGCACATTAACAAGAAATTACTAAAAATTATTAAATGGAAGATCACCATTAAACACGTGTCAAGAATTGGCTGTTTTATGCGTAAGGCGCCCCTTTTTCTTTTTTGACTTATAAAATGTATTTCAAACCTTTCTGTTTACATAAACACTCAGTTAAAACAAATTTAAAATAAGAGAATAAGAGCAATAGTTAAAAGCAAATGTATACATATTATTTTCAGAGGCTGTCTACTTTAGCCATTTCTTCTTGTGCTTCATTCATCTTATCACTCTTTGCTTAGATGACATAGACGGAATGTTCATTTGCAAAAAACTGTACTTATTTCTCAGAAAAAACATGTTTAGGATCAAGTTTGATTTCTATGTTGAAAAGAAAAATTGTCCTATTCTAGTTTAGATGCAGACAGCACGCTTATGCCCACAAAAGTAAATAAGTACACTGGTAAAGGTCACGTTATAATATCCAACTCTTTTCAAAGTGCTGTACAAACATTAACTAATCTGAGAAGGAAGGAAATATTTTCAGGTGTGTTATCAGTTACAATTGCCATAAATTGTCTCAGTTAACATGCTGGCTGTTAAATTTTTCACTTTCATTATGCTACATAGTTTACCTGCTATATAATCAGGTTTACTGTAGCAATTTGATGTCTATGGAGATTTTCAGTCATCCAGGTCATGGTTGTCCTGAAGGCAATTGGACTTTCTTTGTTTTTTCCTTGAAGACATTTTGCTTCTCATCCAAGAAGAAAGAAAAGCAAAATGTCTTCAAGTAAAAAACAAAGTCCAATTACCTTTTGAAAAAGGGTAGCAACTTGATGTATTTCATTTTTATCAATCTAGCAAAGGAAAAAGAGAAACTAAGTAGTTTTATGCATATCCTGTGAGTTAGAATACATCTTCATGCAATCTGAGACACATGCAATCTTTTTTTAAAAAGATTGCCTTGCTTTTTAAACTCAAATGTCTAATCCATACGTGATTAGATAATAAAATACTAAAACATGCAAAATTAGGCTTATGCTTCATGAGTCTCAGCCAACATTTTTTAGAAAAATGGGCAGCAGGGAGTTCACAAACAAAGCAAGGAATTAGGAGAACAAACAGGAACAGGAGAGCTTTGTCAGAGAATTTGCAGGAGAGGAAGAAGCTGGCTTGAGATACCGTCAAAAGGATGGTATCAGTGACATCAGTGGAGCAATGGGAATTTGGAAGCTACCAGAAAATTATGCTAATTACCTCTGTGGCAAACACTAGCATTTCTCCTTGCAGAAGAAAAGGGTAAAAGAACTGGAGGCCGGCCATTCTTTTTTATACAATCACAGCAGTACTGCACAAACAGCTTTCCACAAAGGCTGATAGAATGAGGCTTCTGAGGAGCAAGGCACAGGAAGTCATCCAGAGGCAGGGTCAATAAGGCACAAGAAAGAAGAAAGCACTTCAGTGAAGGGATGAGTATTTGGAGGATTGTGGCAAGAATGACTGGTTGAACATGGAGGACCTCCACACCATGGAGTTGATCAAAGAATGCAGACATGGAAGCCAAGCACCATCTCCCTGAGAAAGTTCTATTATTTCAGCTTCTCCAACTCTGGTCAACAAAACCAAGAAATCCAATTGAAACCTCCACTGAGGAGGAAAAGAAGACCAGTGGTGGTAGTGGTGAAAAAAACCACTAGTATGCTAGATATAAGAAGCTATAGTGAGGGGAACTCTGTGTTGGTGCACAAATTCAGAATATGAAAGAAAGATTACCAAGACTCATCAATCTGATCACTATCCATTCCTGCTTATCCATGTGAGGTTAATCAATGCTGCTAAAAGAGGGTTGTAAGAAATTATGAAACTAGGCTAAAAAGATGAAGCTAAATGGATTGTAAGGAGTATTTTCATCACCCTTCCATACATAGTCAAGGAACAATAACGGAGAGAAAATCTTGGAGGTGGACAACTGGCCATGAAAATGGTGTTTCTCAAGAAAGATTGGATTCCTAAACCATGGTCTTCTTCAACAGTGAAATACTCTTAGATGGAGTGAAGTGCACCTCATAAAAACAGGAGGCAATTATTTTGCCAAGAACCTTGTGAATTTTATGCCAATAAGGTTCTTATGTCTCCTAATAAGGTGCTCACGGGGCCACATTGTTAAAAAAAAAAGGAAACAAAAGCCAGTTGTTCTATCTCTTAATTCAGAAGATTCTTAAAACAAATATAAAATTGAAACCTTTTCTTTCAGGGCTTTGGATAAATAACTTGAAAAAAAGTAGAACTATATGTTACTACATATGTTGACTGTGGCAAAAATCCTATATGCACAAAAATGGAAATACACATCAATTTCCACAATGAAAGATCTGATGGGAAAAGCAACAGAACTGGCAGAGATGGCAAAACTTGCTTTAATTAAAGAAAAGAACTTATCCAGTTTTGATTCTACTTGGAAACTGCTTCTGGAGTTTATGTTTGAAATAAAAAATAATTAAACTTTGATTTTATGCTTTGATGATTACATTATTTTGTTGTTATAGAAATGGCTAGTACTTATTAAATATGTAAAGCAAAAAATTGAGGTTGTAACTGTATTCTATATTCCACTGCACTGAAAAAGCTGTAAGTCACTGCTTTTTTTCTTTCCCTTTTACTTTGCATCTTTTCCCCTTCTCATCCTTCCTTCCCCCATTCCATTAATATTTGTTTCTGTTTTTTATATAATAAACTTCAATTAAAAAAAATTCTAATTAGCTAATCACAACATTATGAAAAGCATTTTTGATATTAGTTTCCTTTTTTACTTACTGCTTTTCTATTTCTCCCTTTTTTCTTCCTCTATCAGTCCAAAGTTTGTTAAGTTGCACTTTATTTGTTAGATTTCTATCCTAAGAGCTTGAGGAATTGTACATATATTTCTCTGTCTTATTTTTCTCACAACAGTCCTGTGAGGTAGGCTGGGCTGATTATTTGTACACCATATGGGATGAGTAGCATCAGACAAGACCCTGCATGATGTAGTACTGTAAAGGGATTTAGAGCTGATCTTGGGAAAGGTAGGAGGGAACCATTAAACATGGAAGAAACGAGTAAGTCATTAAGGAGACCCTTTGACAAGAGATTATATGGTCCAGAGATAGAAAGTAGCGTGAAAAAGAAACTTAAAATAACTCCACCTTGATTTTATTTAGTATAAACAAAAAGAAAATAGAGAAATTTGGATAGGCTTTCCAGATTGATGCCAACCCTTTGAAGTAGGCCAGTGGAAGAAACATTATTGTTATAGGATATATTAGCAGAATCTTGAAATTTTTCTCTCAAAGGAAAACCCAAGGTGGAATTAGTCTGAGTTTCTTTTTCATGCTTCCTTCAATTTCAGGACAGTATAGTCCAAGTCCCTTAATTAATCCTTGCTGCACCTTTTCTAAATTGTGTTGCCTGGTCTGAGTATAAATAATGCAGCTGCATTAGCAGCTTTCTTATTTTTGTTTTATTCCTCAAATCTATATGAGCTATTTAAAGTAAAAATGCAGCATGTGGCATTCATAGAATGGATATGAGTGCAAAAGTATAGACCTCGGATATAAATATTCAGAAGGAAAATCAGTATGCAATGAAAGCCAGCAGATCACAAATAATCTCTAAGTTGTTCATTGCAACTAAAGATAATCAGAGAAAACAATTGTCACACACATTCCAGAAAGTAATTCTCTGTAATTTCTTGAAATCATGCCACTAGAATTACCTTAAGTATCTTTTTTCTGCTTCTGTTTAAACAATTGTACTATTTACTTAATGCGTGAAGAACTAAGTGTTTGTGGTAAATAAATTATGTCATCCTACATTGCCACATAGTTATGCTGGTTAGCCTTTCTTTAATTCCACTTAAATTACATATTTCTTGTTGATTCAGGGGAACTAATAAGGATCCAGAGCTATATGTTTAGTTCTGTGTACAATATACCTTCTATATATATATTTCTATTGTTGCACTGGCAGAGTGCAACAATATATGTACTAAACAGTATTTCTTTTATATGTATGTATGTATGTATGTATGTATGAAAGAAATACTGTTTAATGCATATATTGTTGCACTCTGCCAGTGAATGAATAAGATCAACAGTTCTTTTTTGGACAGGGGTTGTGCCTTTGAGTAAGTGTTGACCCGATTGGGTTCTTGCAATTTTCTTGGCAAGGGTTTTCAGAAGAGGTTTGCCATTGCTTTCTTCCTAGGATTGAGAGAAAGCGACTGGCCCAAGCTCACCCAGATGGCTTTGTGTCTAAGACAGGACTAGAATTCATGATCTCCCAGTTTCTAGCCTGGTGCCTTAATCACTATACCAAACGGGCTTTCTCTGAACATCCATTACAATTAACACCCATTATTCCACCGTTTTTCAAGTGAAGAAGGAAAGCTGCAATATTCTTACATTCGGTGATTTTAAAATTCCATTTCCTAAAGTTATGCTAAGTCATATACAAAAGGAGATATATTATCTGCGGAACAATTTTAAGAAATTCATCTTTCTCTCTTGCACAACTCTAGCCTTTTGATGATTTTCTTCTAAAGTCACGGAACCGCTACCATTGTTTAGAAAGCGAATTTTATCTTATTTACTTACAATACAAGCACCTCTGCCCTTAGTTCGGCCGAAAAAGGAATTCTGCGAGTAACAGGGGACGTTTTAAAGATTGTCCCAAGCAAAGTAGGGAACACCCCAGAGTCAACCTCTCCCGGGAGGAACCGTTTCCAAAAGCATCTCTTCTCTGCGATCGGCACTCCCTCCCGCGGGCTCTGAAGACACCCACCTGCAGAGCAGCCCAGCAACACGAGGTGCCAGAAGGGACTCCCCATAGTGGAGCGCGGGGCACAGGGCAGGCATGCAGTACGGTGGGCGCGAACGCGACGGCTGCCCTGGAGCCCCCGATCTGGGCGCCGCTAAAGACGACAGCCAGGCTCTTTGGCCACAGGCCCCCGCAGGGCGACGGCCGGAGGGCCGATTGAGCCAACCCGAACTGCATGTGCTACCGCGGGCATCTTTTCGCTCCTAGTCGTAACCGATCCCCGCCAGCCCTGCTACGAGTGGCGCCGCCGCTTACTTCTCCCCGCTGGGGGATTCCCGGCCAGGTGCATTAAGAAGAGGCGCCGATCGTCCTGTCCCGCCCCTCCGGCTCGTCTCCTCGTCCCGAGTGACAGCCTGCGAGGGGAGTGGCGGCGGCGGCGGCGGCGGCGCCCCAGGAGGAGGAGAAGGGTCGCTCCCACCCCTCCCGCTCTGTCAAAGTGGGGCGTAGAGACCTCCATTCTCGTCCCCCGCTCGCCCTTCCTCGCTCCCCTGGTCGCCCCCGACGCCTGCCTTCCCCCCCTCCCCACCCAGCGCGCCTCAGTCCTCCAGGGGGCCTGATGCTGGGGTGGAGCAAGGAGCGGGCTGCCCGTGGCCCAGCGCCGCCCTCCCGGCTGTGTCCTCGCGGCATTCCTCAAACCTACCGACTTTTCTCCGCTGTCACTTCGCGGCACGCCAAGATGCCTCAGCCGGGCTGGAGGCCAGGGGAAGGGAGAGGGTTTCGCCACCTCTTTCCTCGCCTTCTTTTTACCTTTTCACCCCGCGGCCTTCTTTCCTCCCAGCTTGCCTCCGAGGGCGACTGACCTCGTTGCCTCGTAGTCACCGCGGCCATCTTCCCTGGAGGTTCTCAATCGGAAGGAAAAGCAGACTACCCGGGCCGCCTTTTTCTTTCTCTAATTGCTTCCCACACCATCTCCCTAAGCCACCTCCATTTTTAAAAAGTTCAAGAATTAAGCTGATGTCTTCAGTTTAAATATCAAAGATGGAGTGTGTAGACTTGACTGCAATGCCGTTGATTGCTCATTTTATACATAGTAAGTCATGGGAAAACAATATTTTTTATTAAACTTGTATAGCTGCACATCTCACCACTCATTACTGCATATCAGCCACCACTCTGGTGGCACACAATATATTAAAAAGTAAAAAGATTTCCCTTGTCCTGTGGTGTCCCATTCCAGAGGGCCGTGCTCATCTCCATTTTCCAGCCAAGGGAACCAGTATTGTATGAAGATGCTTCTATGGTTATGTGGACAGCATGGCTATATGCCAAGGGGCACGGAACATTGTTACCTTCCCACCAAATGGTACCTATTTATCTATTTGCATTTGTGTGCTTTCAGACTGCTGGGCTGGCAGGAGCTGGGGCAGAAATGGAAGCTCATCCCGTCATATTTGGGTCTTGAACTGCCCACTTCTGGTCAACAAGCCCAGCATCTTAATCACTAGGCTACTATGCCTCTACACAACAATACTAAAGGAAGGTTTTAAAAAACTTCTGCTTTTATTATGAAAACATTTCATTCAATGAATTACTCTTTTGCAATAGGAGTTTACAAGCTGTGAATTGCAGTAGTCTCAGAAGGAATCAATTAAAAAAAAAAGCTGATCAAGTTTGTACAATCAAAGCTGGAGTATTGTAGAAACTTGTTCTAGCTTTGCCTTAGTCTGAAGCGGGCCTTAGAAGACAGGGTTGATAGTCAATAGCGATAGCCAACTGCAAAAATAATCTGCCAATCAAATACATGCTGCGACTGCTGAATGTTCTCCACCCATTGGCAACTTCTAGCATGACATGTAATAGATCCATTCTCTTTGGATTATCTGTAGTGTACAGCATTTGTTAATAAAGTTCAGAACTTTCTCCACTTATTTTAAATGACCAGCCTTTCAAAATAAGAAACACATGGGCAGTTGAATTAGACTGCTATTTAAGGATGTTGCTGGTACTTGCTGTTATGCCATAGTGCTCCTGCAGTAACCATACACATTACTTTTGCCCTATTACAGCTTTTGGGCTCTTTTAGTACCCATTGCAGATTACAGATACTTTTTTTCATATATCTACAGCTTGCAGACAGAATCTTTAAGATCACTGCTCAGCCTGAATTACCTGATAACATAGAGAACAGCAGCCAAACCTACTTGAAACAGGCAGATCACGTTGGGAAATCATGGCATCATTTCATGGTGGCAGGTCAGGGCACCCACTGAGTGAAGGGTTGTTTTTATCTCCTACAACTCTTTTGCATCTGAAGATTTAAAATTGGCAGAAGGGAGTAAAACTGTAGATCAGACATGTCAAACACAAGGCCCGGGGGCTGGATGCGGCTCACAAAGTGGTTTCATGTGGCCCGTGAAGCCATCCTGGAAACAGTGAGGGAATGACCCCCACTGCCTTGGCCCTGGCCGGCCGGGAGCCAATGTACAATTTTGTGGTGGCCATCTGTGCTGAAACACATTCAGTCTTAGCTCCACAAGGCTGTCTGGAAACAGCAAGGAACCAGCCCCTGCCGCATCAGCCCCACCCCCAGAGTGCATGCTGGGGAGGTGTCACCCTTTGTGAGGAATGAAGAAATGCACCAGCGCCTGGAAGTGGCAAGCAAATGGCCCTCGCCTACTTCACCTATCCGGCTTGATGGGCTCTGGGGGAGGGGTTTCAGCTGGCAGTGAGGCTCCTCCAGTGGACCATACCTTGGCACTTGCCAAAGTCCCACCCCCTTCTGCCAGGGACCCTCAGATCTGTCCCAGTCCTGCCCAGGCCTCCACAGGCACCCTTGACGCGAATGATGTACAGCTGGCCACGCCCACCCAATAGGCCACACCCACTCCATCCACACCCACCCAGTAGGCCACACCCACCCTGCCCCCCCAAGGGCAACTGCAATGCTGATGCGGCCCTCAATGAAATTGAGTTTAATACTTCTGCTGTAGATGCATGATACCTTTTCAAATGGTCTTTTTTGTGATGGTGAGGAATGTATTATTCTCTTTTGTTGTTGCTGTTTTTGGATGATGTTATTGTGGACAAAGAAGAACCTGATTGCAGCTGCTATAATGATTAAATCCCCATGGAAATAAAATGCTACAACCTAACAAAGATGTTGGAGGCAGGGAGCATAATGAGAAATCCCCCATGGAAAACAAGCCCAGTTATAATAGTGTTTGCCATCACCCCTTTTCAAGAAAAGGACTTGGTATTATATCCAAAAGCCAAGGGGAAAAAATGACTAAACTTCATATCCAAAGTTATTCTACAATGCAGAGGAACAGCCAATCCGGGCCTGTAGTGGTCATCGTCTGGACTCAGCACGTTCCCTGCCCCTTGACAAACCAGAGCAATCCAGACAGGATTTTTTAAACTTGCCTTCCCCCACACTGTTCTCAGCTCTTTCTGAAGTAACTTTAAAAATATCCTGTCTGGACTGCATAATTTAACAGAATAACAGAGTTGGAAGGGATCTTGGAGGTCTTCTATCCCAACCCTGCTCAGGCAGGAAACCCTATACCATTTCAGACAAATGGTTGTCCAATCTCTTCTTAAAGCTTCCAGTGTTGGAGCAATCACGACTTCTGGAGGCAAGTTGTTCTACTGATTAATTGTTCTAATTGTCATGAAATTTCTCCTTAGTTTTAGGTTGCTTCTCTCCTTGATTAGTTTCCATCCATTGCTTCTTGTCCTACCCTCAGGTGCTTTGGAGAATAGCTTGACTCCCTCTTCTTTGTGGCAGCCCGGAGATATTGGAACACTGTCAAGGATAGTGTGGGTCTGAATCCAGACAACAACGACTGCAGGCACCAACCATGAGGGGAAGGAAGGCCTCATTCTGTGTGTTTGTGTGTGAGAGTGTATGTTATAGCTTACTAATACCTGCCTTGTTCTTCAAAATGTCTTCCCTTCTTTCTGGTCCCCATTTTTTTCATTCATGTTTCCAGGCATTCAACCACTTAGATGCCTTCACACTCCCTTCCCATAGTGTCTCCTTTGATACTAATGCATCCTCTACCTTCATTGTATTATTGTTTCTTTGGTATTGCAATGACTAAAATAAGGGGAAATGCTTGTTTCTTGGTCTCTTTATTAGACTTTGGGTCAATGAAAACATTGTAGTAAGCAAGAACTGATAATTCAAATAAGAACAGGAGCATTTAGGGATACTTTGTAACTTAATTTCAACATGCTGCAACTTAAAGATAAGGGAAAGGAGACAGGAGAGGAGGGGAGGAGAGGATTAGATAAGGCACAAAGAAAAGAGTACACTTTGCCCAGCTTGGACAAAAACTGAAAGGATGTCCATTAGGAGATTCCAAGGTGGAATGAAGGTGTGCTGGGTGAAAAGGTGGGGAAAACATGGTAGCCTGAAGATTTACTGCCTCCATGTTCCTTATGGGTCATCCTTGGGTTAACTGGAATGGACAAGAAGCAACGGGTGGAAACTAATCAAGGAGAGAAGCAACCTAGAACTAAGGAGAAACTTCCTGACAGTGAGAACAATTAATCAGTGGAACAGCCTGCCTCCAGAAGCAGTAAATGCTTCAACACTGGAAGTTTTTAAGAAGAGACTGGACAGCCATTTGTCCGAAATGGTGTAGGGTTTCCTGCCCGAGCAGGGGGTTGGACTAGATGACCTCCAAGGTCCCTTCCAACTTTACTACTATTATTATTATTATATAAAAATAAAGGAAGCTGCTGACCAGTTGAGAACATAGCAGTTCAGCAAACTGGGATGAAATAGCCATACAACAGCAGTTGCTTAGTGATGGAGTTGCCAGGCCCAACTGTGGTTATTAAACGAGGATTATACATATATACATACATACATACATACATACATACATACTTACATACGTTGCAATGGAAAAAATGGGAGGAAAATTGACCCCTCCAAAAAATTGACCAGACCAAACCAAACACATGACACAAATTCAGATAACTAAAAGAATTTGAATAACTGCACCCCATGCAAAGACATCCTGTTAAACTATAACAAGAATGCTGCATACTTATACAGACACCAATATATTAAATAGTGAACTTTGGTCAGGCTTGCAGTTAAAAAATAAACCCCATTGTCCACTTTTAATTATTATAATAAAATGTTTAATAATTTAAATCACTCTAATAAAAAAAACTAAGTATACATTTGTTTCAAGATTAAAAAAAAATTCTTTCCTAAATACTGTACTTCAGAGCACCAAACGTTGTTCCCTTTGTAGAATATTCTATCTACTACCAAATCAGAAACTTTTCCATGTCTAGACCAGGCCACCCATGTTGGCTTTTGGTTATGACTTTGCCTCTAGGTGTTCACTGATTCGTTGCTTGATTTTGTTTTCCAGAATCTTCTCAGGTATTGAGGTCAGGTTGATAGGTCTGTAGTTTCCTGGACTTATTTCCCCCCCACACTTTTTTTTGAAGATGGGAACTACACCAGTTCCTTTCCAGTCCTCTGGTAGTTCCCCAGTGCTCCAG